GGTGGGCGGAACAGAATCATATTAAAATAAAATCAAGATCAGTGGAGTAACGGAAGAGGATTGAGGGAAGGGAGGAAAGATGAAAATTAAAGGAATGTTAGAATTAAACTGAACAAATGATGCTATTTACATGTTTTAATATACTACAGTGAATTTTACTTTTGTGTTTATCTACAAAGCATGCATTTTAAAAGCTCTGCAAAGAAATAGAAGGAAGACCAGTAGAGTAGAGCAAAGGGAATAGGGCTTGGGAGGGGGAGGAGGATAGAGAAAGAGGAAGCACTGGAAGTAGAGCAAATTATATTTCATGCACGTATGATTATGTCAAAATGAGCATTAATTTATGTATAATTATAATGAATTAATAAAGCCATAGGAATTAAACATTGACTCATAAGTACAAAACAAAAGAACAAGTAAAAAGCCTGGAGATATACAACCACCTACAAATGTTAGAATTTAGAAAGAAATTAAGTGAGCATTACTTTCTTTGTCATTATTATGATTTCTAACACTAACACAGAACTAAGGAAACCAACAACTTCTCATTTATACTGTACCCTCTCTCATAAGCTCAAATTCCGTGGCATCATGAATATAGATGTGAATAATTGAAAAACTTAAAAAGGGATGTTTGGGGACATATTAGATCTTCAGATCTCTTCTACCTCTCCATGCAGCAGATGTCAATCTTTGCTTATGCTTAGTAAGGAACTAGAAGCTTATTTATTAAAGAAAGTGAAGCAGGGTTTCTAAATCATACCACTATATATGCATGTGTGGTAGAGTTCACTATGTTGACAACAAGGCAAAAAGTAGAGGTTTTGCCTCATGAAAATTGACACCATTAGTCTTCTTCCTCCACTCAGGTCAATGTTGAAAGCCGAAATACCTTGCTTCAGGAAGACTCAAAGATTCTTTTCTGGGGAGTCAAAGCAGTCCACCTTAGAAGACCGCTTGGAATTTCCATTAAGTATTTCTATTGGAATGGGACAATGTACAGTGAGGTGCACAGTTTTAAGTGCCAAGGCTCCACTTTGAGTTACTCATCAGCTTGTAGAATCCCTTTCTCAATGATAGGGCAGGGGCATGGATGCTGGACACTCTCAGGGAACCTATAGTAATACACATACAATGTAAATATACAGAAACATTTTAAATAAAAGACATTTTGAAGAAAATAAATCTTCAAAAACAAAAATATGGGAAGACATACTATGTTTTGAACATTTGTAATGAAAGCAAAAAATAAAAAAATTGTGCAAATTCCAGAGAAAAGTTGAGGTTATGTTCCAAATCATAAACTTAATCAATGAAAAAGTAGATGAGAAAATACTGTCCAGAAAAAATTCGAAGATTTAAGCATTTGAAAATTCCAGAGAAAGAACTCAATAAAAGGAATATATTAATGATTTATGCAATTTAAGAATTACTTTTGGAACTGAAGGCCTTGTACTTCCCAAATGGACTTAGTTAATAATCTTAATGTTCAAATAGAGAAACATATAAAATACAATATTTTGAATGTTCAAAAAAATGGAAACAAATGTATGAGTGAAAGTAAACAGTATTAGAGAGTTACTGGGCTCATATTTGGTCAATATATTGAAAAATTTGAGGAGCAATCACTTCTAAACTTCTTGGACAATGACTTCCAAATCGCCTATTTATTGTCTGTTTACAAGGACAATAAATGGGATGGTGCATAAAGACAATTTCATGCATGCAAGGTTGGTGGAACTGCCATTCCAGTCACTACTTCCCAAGGAATCAAAGCACAATGTTTTGTAACCAATGAGTGATACAACCAAGAAATTGGGATAACATATCAAGGAGAGAGAGAATCTAGGACATGATAGAGATAAAGGAAATCCCATACATGATGATGACAGATGATCTCAAGAATTCAGAATTTTTGTCATATTCAGAAGTCATTCTATCAATGTGGGAGTGGGTCAAGAAACTCCTGAAAATCTTATTTAAAAAGATGAAATTGAATACCTATGACTGAATGCAATAAAGGGAAATTTAAAACAAATAAGGAAGACATTGAGAAGGATTCAGAGAAATACAGGAGATTGTATGGAAACCAAGCAAAATGGGCATTATGGAAATGAAAACAATCACAGTGTATGATGGAGTAACACTATATAGCATTTTTAAATGTCTTTCTAATGATAATAAGGATATTTATATAACTGAATGTGTGATTATGATCATAGTTATTGGGAGGAGGGAATAGGAATAACAGTGATCTGGGTATGTACTGTGGTGATGGATGGTTACAAATGTCCCAGTTCTCATCTTCAATAGGTTACCAGGCTCTCATCTTCAATAGGTTACTCCTAGAGCAACCCAATTTTGAGATGGAGAGGAGCTAAAGAAGTTGCCTGAGTGAAAGTACAGATCTTGGAAAGTGATAGATCCTCTGGAACTGTGAGATTAGATGAAGATAGTGAGGGAGGAAGAGGTGCTAAGTTTAAGTTGTGCACTAGTGGCTATGCTAGTGGTGAAAGTAACTGAGAAAATGATGAGCTGAGGAAGAGCAGCCTTGGAAATCATATGAAAATCTAAATTTGGTTTGGGGCACATTGATCTTGAGGAACACAAGTAAGTATTAAATAGAACTGTGTGGAGTCTGTGGAGCAGACATAGGAGAAAAGCAGGCTGCAGAGAAGGACAAGCAGTCCTCAAACAGGGAAATTATGGCCCTGTAAGGAGAGGAAGTTGTGATCCCTTTCCCCCACACCCATAAGAGTCATGGCCAATATTCTTATGATGAAAGACAAGTTAATGAGAAAAATATAACAGATTTGCTTAATCAGAATTTCTGTGACAAAGAAGCCTTCAGATATGAAGCTCTATAACCCAGGGAAGGCTGTCCATTTTTATGGTTAGATTTGAGGAAGTAAATCTGCTATGTTAGAAATGTGATTGGACAAAAGTGTATAGGCTAATGTAATATATGAAAGGGGAAACACAGCATGGCCTATCTTTTCTGATTCTTCTTGGCCTTTCTGTATCGTATTCTTTCCTCTTGGTTAAAGGACACATTCCTTTCTGGAATAAGGGTCTTAGAGTCTTTTCTCTGACAGAAAGATTTGAAAATATCCTCATGGGCAGCTCCTATACAGAAAGGCAGTGGGTGGTGGGACTAGTATTTCTACAGTTTAGGTCTGGCTTTGGGGAGACAGATTCTACTTCTTATGATCAGCCTTAAGGAAGGAGAGATTCTTGGTATTTATGGCCTGTCTTGTGGGAGAAACAAAGCAGGAGGAAGAAAAGGACGAGAAGGACAAAAAAAAGATTCTATTCTGTGTCCTCCCAATTTCTTTGTTTCATAGTAGTCGGAATTCCAATGTGTCATACATTGGTGCAATATTTTCTGATTTCCAAACAACCCAATATATATGTGATAATACCTTGAGAAATGTTTGTTGGTCACAACTAGTGTGAGCTTTTGCGTAGAAGGATAGTACTGGCAAATTATCAGCGGGACCAAATGTGCTCTGCATTCTGCTGTGCAGAGGACAGTCGATGAATAAAAAAAATCACCAAGTCCACATTAGAGTCAAACCAGAGTTGAGAAACTCTGATTTATGTGAAGAATGTGGATCAGGGGAAGGGGTACTAACACCTATTTAACTGTTTTTATATGTCAGGCACAGATATATTATGTGAATTATCTCATTTAACTCCCACAAAACAATGAGATAGGTCTTTTATTTTACTTTTATAAAACTGTACTATTTATTTATATACTCATTTATTTATTTTTGTTGGTGCTAGGATTTACCTGAGGACCTTGTGTATGCTAGTCAAAAGTTGCATCATGTTGACGACCCCTGGCCATTTTTATGAACTTCATTTTATAGATACATACAACTACATGTACATATAAATGTAAATATAAATGAACAAGGTTCATAGAAATGATATGTATCTTCAGTCTCAGAGTTTGGTAGGGAACGTCTAGATTTAAACTCAGACTTGAGACTACTCCTTTTTAAAACTTTTTTAATACATCTTTTCATTGGTAGAGTGTTATACAACCTAGAATCTTGATGTAATCCCAGAGGCTTGTAGAACATACTAGAACTGGCAAGTGATTTTGCCCTGGACTTCCCTCTTGGTGGCTCTACAGGGCATGAGGAGACTGACAGAGGGGACCACCCATTAATCAGCCTGGGATCTGGGATTCCTGATGGGAATTTATAAATTAAGCAGATTGTGAGGTATTGGAAGATCCAGAGTTAGTTTTATTATATAGGATGTAACACAGGCTCAGTAATTAACACCCTCAAGAGGCTTATCCAGCTTGGGAGGAAATCTTAAAGGAGAACATTATTTTCTGTGCTTCCAATAAATATTCCCCAGAACCATGGGACATGAAATAGATTCTCATTTGAGTGAGGTGATATTCAGAGACTTATATAAAGTAATTATTTTCTTACTAGTGAATTGAAATTTTCAAATAGAAACCATGGCTTATTCAATAGAATAACTCTTCTAGGAAGTCAGATGCAGATTTTAGTTGATGGCAAGTGCCTCCTTCACCATAAGAATCTTTGTCCCCCTCAGGACAGTGGGGAGGAAGCCCTTAAGTTCCAACATCAGTGAGGCCTCCTTGGGAACAAAGGTGAGCATTGAACCATGTTTGCCATGATGATTTCACTTCAAACCCAAAGCTGTATAAATCATAAATATGGAGAACACTAGTTATTTCTAGCTCTTTTCAACCATAATCTTTAGAGAAGAGTGAGAGGAAGAAAGGAAATGATGTTCAAGACATTGAGAAGTCAGCCATTATTCTTTTTGAACAGAGACACACATCATGAGTGGGAGAAGCATGAGGAAATGGGGACTCTTCAAGAATTAACATAGGAAGTCATGCTCTTTGGATGCCTTGCTGTATGTCTTCCGACGACCCTGAAACCGCTCCAGTTGTGTAAAGAATAAACGTTCATTGTTAACATGATCTCCTACCCTCGTTTCTACAGATTCCATCCATGAAGACAATGGCTATGGAAAATGACTCCTCTGTGACAGAGTTCATCCTTCTGGGACTAACAGACCAACCTGAGCTGCAACTGCCCCTGTTCCTCCTGTTCTTGGTGAACTATGCTGTCACTATGGTGGGCAACTTAAGCTTAATGAATCTAATTTTCCTGAATTCACACCTTCACACCCCCATGTACTTTTTCCTCTTTAACTTGTCCTTCATTGATTTCTGTTATTCATTTGTCTGTACCCCTAAAATGCTCCTGTGCTTTGTTTCAGAGAGGAACATCATCTCCTTTGCAGGATGCATGACTCAGCTATTTTTCTTCTGCTTTTTTGTGCGTTCAGAGTGCTATGTGCTGACAGCCATGGCCTATGATCGCTATGTGGCCATCTGTCAGCCTCTGCTGTACAGCGTGATCATGTCCCCTAGGGTCTGTTCTCTGCTGATGTTGGGTTCTTACTTGATGGGGTTTGCTGGTGCCATGGTGCACACAGGGTGCATGATCAGGCTCAGCTTCTGTGACTCCAATGTCATCAATCATTACATGTGTGACATCCTTCCTCTCCTTCAACTGTCCTGCAGCAGCACCCACGTCAATGAGCTTGTGAGTTCTGTTGTTGTGGGGACAGTAGTCATTGTATCCAGCCTCATTATCCTAATCTCTTATGCTTTGATTCTTTATAATGTCCTTCATATGTCCTCAGCTAAGGGTTCATCCAAGGCCATGAGCACCTGTGGTTCTCACATAGTAACTGTTGGCCTGTTCTATGGATTTGGGCTGCTCACTCATGTTAAACCATCAACTGCTGGGGCTGTGGATGAAGGGAAATTTTTCTCAGTGTTTTATACTTTTGGGGTGCAAATGCTGAATCCCCTCATTTATAGCTTCAGGAATAAAGATGTCAAACTTGCTCTGATGAGAACCCTGAAGAGAATCACAAACTGAGTGATGAAATAGGACTGTCCCCAATTCTTCATCTTTTTCCCCATTGGTGCTCTTCTTCACCCCATTCCTTCTGTTCTTCCTTCCTTCTCTTCATCTTTCATTCTACAGTTTGGGCACGATTTCTATTATAATTTTGTATTTCTCAGCATGCAGTATAACTACGTGGGCTGACTCTTGGACTTGAGCCTCATCCTTAGTCCCAAGGTATCTATCTCCAACAGGGTCTTTATTCCCTGTACCAGATGTAGACATTAGGCTGATGTCCATTTCTTTCTAGATGTAACACAATCTAGTACTTTTTAATATGTCTTCTCTGTCCAATGAAATCAGTGAGTTGAATGCTTTCTTACAAGTTCATTTTTTTATTGCTCTTCTGATATGATTTTGTAGATCTATTTCCTATTTCAATAGTTTATTTCATATAACTGCACTAAAAGAGAAAGAAATAACCAAAATTGTTGACATGGTCAAGTATACATTTCTAGAATTATTCAGTTTATTTTAAAAAATGTTCTTGCTCTAGAATTTTATACTCACTTTATTTGACAAAGTTTTCATTCTTATGGTTATTTGAGGATAAATGAGTCTCAGCTCTCTGCCCAGGTTTGTTTGTTTGTTTATTTATTTATTTATTTGTGGTGCTGGGGATTGCACCCAGGGCGTTGTGCATGTTAGGCAAGCACTCTACCAACTGCACTCTCCCAACCCTGCCCAGGTTTCTTCAAATCCCACCAATAATGACAATGTCTTAGTTAAATGATATTTTCTTATACATAGAACTGAAATTCTCATCAGATAGTTCCTGATTTCTATATTTTGTCTACCATATTTTAAAAAAATTAGAGGATGACATTCCTCACTATAGTTCTCAATATTAACTATAACAGCATTTTTTTTGTTTCACCTCTCATATAAGAATTCTCCTTGGAAAAGAAGTTCTATTTGCTACTTTCAAAAATACGTAACAATAGCTGGGTATTTAATTTGGTAGTAAAGTATATACATGTACATGATCCTGGGTTCAATCCCTAGCACCAAAAAATAAAAAATAAAAATAAATGAAAAAAAGAAAAAGGAAAACCACCAAACAATACCAACAAAACCAAAGAAGCAAAACCTACCCCCTGTTTATGCTCACCCTTTTAAAGGTAAGTGCTGCCCAGTTCTGTAGATAAGAAGATAGTCTTGTGACATAATTAAGACATCAAAGCTGATGATACAGAATACATAGTTTGACCCAATTGCACATCTTATGAAGAAGTGAAAGGAAAGTATGGAGAATTATGAAGGAACATAGAGAACTTCTGGAGACATGTTCAGAACGGGCCTAGAAGTGGGAATTATATAGAAGCAATGTCCTGAACCAAGATATCAAGAGCATAGAGACAATCTGCAAGGCTTGATGCCCAACCAGAAAAATGTGCATCTACTGCAAAATCTCATTTTAAAGTGGGATAAAGAGGGTGAACTACAAAGCAACATTCCATTTCATTCTTTAATAACAGTAATTACTTCTTAAGGATTCTGAATCTGCAGATTTTAGGTCAAGCTTTTCTGGTGAGATTTGTAATTTTTTTTCCTTAGTAGTATATGTACTTTAACAAATCTATTATATAATATATTTGGAGATAAATACATATTATTTATCTTAAAGCTATATAAAACTGTGCTTTAAAATTGTTCTTATTGTGTATATTGCACAGAAGATATGCTATCTATTGTTGAACACTATTTAAGATGGGTTCATAGCAAGTGTTCTGTGTATATATATCTTAGTTGTGGAACAACAGTCCATTATCACTGTAATTTAATTATTCATATGATGATAGTGAGTTTTAAAAAGTCCTAAAACATTGGTTTATGTTAATTAGTTTAGAGAAAAATGATGCCAGTTAGGAACTCAAATTCACTCTGATTAAATGTATTGTTATTAGAGCAGAGATGAGAATTTATATTATTGTGATTTAATTTTACTGTTATTATTAAATTGAATTTCTCAAGCATAGTCTGAATACTTAATGTCTACTTCTATTCTTCTGTTTATATTCATTATAATGATTGTTTAGACAGAATTCTTAAAACTGCAAATTTTTCTTAAGCACCTACTTGAATATAGACATAAAATGGTTTTTAAATATAGGAAATAAAATGTAATATATATTATATTTTATATGCATATATTATATATACCTAAATATTTCTTATCCTGTTATCATAGTTTCTCTATAAACATATTTCAAATTGGAAAGACATGATATTCTCCAAATTCTATCCATTTACCAGCAAATGCCATCATCATTTCATTCTTCTTTAAGACTGTGTCAAGCTCCATTGTGTATATATACCACATTTTCTTTATTCATTTCTCTGTGGACAGGTATATAGGCTGGTTATTGTGAATTATACTGCTGTAAAGAAAGTGCCTGTATCCTTACAGTATGCTGATTTTATTTATTTATTTATTTATTTATTTATTTATTTATTTATTTAGAACAAAGAGTAGGATACCTGGGTCATGTGGTAATTTCATTTCTAGTCTTTTGAGAAATCTTAATACTGCTTTCCAGAGTGATTGTACTAATTTGAAGTACTACTAACATTATGAGTGTACATTTCTCCCTATATCCTAAAATCAGCATATTATAATGATACATACATACTGATGTTTATAGGAGCACAATTCATAACAGCCAAGTTATGAACCAGCTTGGATGCCCATCAGTGGATGAATGGAGATTAATGGTTAAAGCAAATATGGCATATATACATAATGGAGTTCTATTCAACAAATAAGAAAAATGAAATGATGTCATTTGGTAGTAAATGGATGGAACTGGAGAACATAATACTAAGTGAAATAGGCCAGACTTGAAAAGTCAAGGTTCAAATATTTTCCCCATATATGGGAAACTAAAGAGAAATAAGACATCAAAAGGGGATCTCATGAAAATATAAGGAAGAGCAATAGAGTAGAAGCAGGGAACTGAGGGTGAAGGAAGAACTGGAAAATAAATTTGACCTAATTGTGAAATGTGAAAGTATGAAGAAGTCACAATTCAGTCTGATTTTTTTATGTAACTGTAATGCACCAATTAAAAACAAACAAGGAAGCAAACAAATAAATAAGTGGAATATCAATTGAGTAGAGGAAGGGGGTCAGGGGAAGTGAGGAGGAAAGGAATGGGGATGGAACTGGGGGTTGAAATAGATAAAACTACATCATAAGCACTTATGATAAAATCCTGCAATTATGCAATGCACTAAAATAATTATTAAAAGTACACTAGTATAAAAATAGAAAACAGATACTAGTACACAACTCTTTAGAATGATTAAAATTTGAAAAACTGACAATTCCAAATTTTGACAGGATATATGATAATAAGCATCTCATTCATTTCTGATGATAGCTAATAGGAATCCAAAATGGTCCAGTTACTTTGGAGGAGACTCTAGCAATTTCTTATAAAGTTAAACAGTATTATTGTACAATCCATCTTGTTCAGGATATTAACTTAATTGATTTGAAAATAACCTTCTACACAGAAACTTGATGTGAATGTTAATAATAACTTTATGTTTGCCCCAAACTCAAAGTAACAAAGATGTTCTTCAATGGAAATAGAGAAACAAATTGCAGAATGTCCTTACAAGAGAATTTTGAAAGAAATGATCTCCCTGAATTCCCAAAAGGCATGCAGGTGTCTTAATTGCACATTGCTAACTGAAAAAGCCGGTCTGAAAAAGCTAGATAACAGGCACAATTTTTAAAAAATTTTTTTATTGGTTGTCCACAACATTACAAAGCTCTTGACATATCATATTTCATACATTAGATTGAAGTGGGTTATGAACTCCCAATTTAACCCCAAATGCAGATTGCAGAATCACGTCGGTTACACATCCACAATTTTACATAATGTCCTATTAGTAATTGTTGTATTCTGCTACCTTTCCTATCCCCTACTATCCCCCCTCCCCTTCCCTCACATCTTCTCTCTCTACCCCATCTACTGTAATTCATTTCTCTCCTTGTTTTTTTTCCCATTCCCCTCACAACCTCTTATATGTAATTTTGTATAGCAATGAGGGTCTCCGTTCATTTCCATGCAATTTCCCAGGCACAAATTATATGGCCCAATAGGAACAAAAAAACATCTGTAAAAACAGTGAAATAAGAATGGTTGCTAGGGCTTTGGAGGGAGCAGGAAGGGAAAAATAGAGAAACATGGAATTTTTATGTCAGAATTCTTCTGAATGATACTGTCATGATGGCTGCACAACACAATGCATTTTTTCAAATCTATATAACTTCACAGCACAAAGAGTGAACGTGAATATATGATTCAAAATTCAAGGCATCTCAAAAAGAAATGCATATTATGAAAAGAGAATCTAATTGTATTACATATTCATGAAACAATTTCACTGAGGACGGTAGGAGAATAGATGCTGACTTAAATAATGTGGAAAATGAATGGAGTATGTAAAGCTACAGGAAAAAGTTATTTTGTACAAGCCTGTTGCTAATGAAATTGTTCTTGTTGAGCACAGATTAGTAATTCTGAGACAGCTGTACCCGTATAGTGGAATAGAACAGCTATGTAAATAGATGATGAAGTGGGAGCCAATTTTAATTCTTGGAGTTGGAATTTAAAGATATCCAAGAAGAAGGGCTAGAATGCTCTATGTGATAACATATTACTATTAAAGACATTAGTAAAACTCTAATTTTTCTTAATATGCAGCTAGAAATACAGATAGTTTCATATGGAAACATTTATAGGTATGTGTTTATGCATGCGTTAGTATGCCAGTATTTTTCTTTATTCTTCCAACTAAGGGAGCCTAAAAGAAATGAAGTGCTGATAACAATGAGCACACCTAGAAATCAGCTACTTTTATTTCTTTATGTTTAAAATATTTTTTTAGTTGTAGATGGACACAATACTTCCATTTTATTTATTTATTTATATATGGTGCTGAGGACTGAAATCAGTACCCCACACATGCCAGGCAAGTGCTCTGCCACTGAGCCACAACCCCAGCCCCAGCTTTTTTTTTTTTTTTTTTTTTTGATAACATCATTGTTCAGTAAAAGCAATCAGGCTTTTTGTAGAAATGGATGATTATAGGATGGAGCTTCAGCCTCTTATAATGTCAGAAAGTAAAGAGATGCTCAATACTACTAAGAGTTTTGGCGTATAGCTCACTACTAAGGTATTTGCCAACACATGAAAGGTCTTGGATTCTATTCCCACAAAATAAAGCCCTATACAACAACTTCCAACACACACACACACACACACACACACACACACACACACACACTCAGTGTGGGGGTGGGGCATCCTAAAGAGGCACAGGAACCAACTAAAAGAGATTCAAACAGTTAAAGTGTTGCTGGAGTCCTAGGTCAGAGGGGTAATAAAATTGGGAAGTCCTAAACTTGTGGAATATTCTTTATGGGTGAAATTGAGTGAGGAGTATAACAAAAATTGAGTATCACTTTAGCATGTTCCTATGAAATTATAAGCATTTCAAAATAAAGTTAGAAAATTGATGCCCTGTTACATGCACAAGCACATGTTCTTATATACAGTAAATTCTAAAGAAATGTTTTCTTAAAATTATAGCCCATGAATAGTGATTTTGTACATATTTGATTTTAAACTATTGACAAAAATATATTGAGTTAGAACTTTCTAAAATAATTAAATTTGTCATGAAAAATTATTCTTATTTTGGTTCATATTATTATTAAAATACCTATGACAATGAGTACTTTTTTCCTATAAAATATACACACTTTATTACTGATTATTTAAGGGACTAAATTTTTTTTAAAATGAGCATAACAAATAAACTTAACTAAATTATACATAAGGTTTTAGTAAAACTATTATACTCCCTAGATTCATGATTAGTGAAAATTTTAATGATTTTAATTATATTTACATCTTCATAAATAACAGCAGAGGCTCCTTTACTGTGTGCCCTTGGGATTCAAGAGCCCTTGAGGGGAGGACCATGTCTACTGTCGTCAACTAGTATGTAAACCCAAACACCAATGTTTCTTTTCTTCCTCATTTATCACCATGGGGTGATCTCATCCTAGGGGACCACACATTCCTGAATTTCTGATCAGGCCCCAAAGAACTATAAGTCCTCATCAAATGCAATATGTTCTGTGATGTGTTGGCTCTGATGTCAATCCCATGGCTTTTCTTTATACCCTTTTGGAAAATTTATAACTAGAAGTTTCATCTATATTTCAGAATGAGTCTTGGAACACTCAGATTGTGAAATCTGTGTTCTGATACCTTTTTCCGTAAGGAGGAAGAATCTTGCAAAGCAAGTGATCAGCTCAGATACCTGGAAGCCAGTTCGTCCTCCAGGACAGTAGAGGTGAAATATGTATAAAGGGTGATCACTTGAGTTCTTTAAGTGGAAGGAGGTGAGTTCCTCTGCTCTCTATCTCTCACTCTCCATGTGAGTAAAGAATGAGTAGAATTATTACACTGAATAACAAAAAATTTAGCAGCATGGAGCCCTGGATCTACTGCTTGCATTTTTCTCATCTAGATCTTGCTGTGTTGGCTTCTCTCTCAGTTTTAGGAGTATAACAGGAACACACCAACATACAGCCCTTTACAAATACTGCTGTGTGCTATACATACAGAGTTTACATGTTGTAAGAACACAGCTGGGCAAATTTTTCAAAATTAACTAATATAATCAGCACTCATATAAATTATGATTCTGCTTCATCTCCTCATATTTGATCTTTGAAAACACATTTGTCATCTTTTTTTCTGGCCTCTGTGTAGTCAAGATGCAGTAGAAAAATATGTGTACCAACACTGAGGTATATGTCATTCTGAATCTTAAGCTGCCAAGGATCTTCTCCATACCTGTTATCAATTGTTGACTTTATGGATTCTTGTAGTATGGTATATGGGAACTCTACAGACTAGGGGATACTCCTTTCTAGGATGAATAATATTGATACATTCTCTTCCCTAAAATAATTCTTCTGTTAGTTACCACAGGAAAACTGAGGTGTCTAGTTGAGTAATGGAAATATGATTAGAGTCAAGTAATTGAGGGAAGAGATGAAATGGAGGGAGTTTGGAGAGAGATATCCCCACTACATAGCTCACCAGCAGGTGGGTTTGTGTCACAGTGGTTCCACCTTTCTACTAGCCAGGACAGGAGCAATTATTTTTTCACTTTCAGTAAATACAGAAAATTAGAGATGATTGAAATGTTGAAAAGGAGGGTTTATTCATATGACATGAAGCCAGGGATAATTTACAGGAAATCTGCCAGTACCCTCCCCATCAATGACAAAAGCAGATACATGGGTCCTCTATTAATGAAGATTTGTTCTGTTCTCCCAGACTCTCAACAAAGAGAATGCTGACCGGAAATGACTCCCTGGTGACTGAGTTTGTTCTGGCTGGATTAACAGATCTCCAGGAGCTTCAGCTTCCCCTCTTTCACCTGTTCCTAATGATCTACATTGTCACCATTGTGGGCAACTTTGGCTTGCTCACACTTATTGCTCTCAATTCTCACTTGCACACCCCTATGTACTACTTCCTCTTCAACCTGTCCTTCATTGATCTCTGTTACTCTTCTGTTTTCAGCCCCAAAATGTTGATGAACTTTATCTCCAAGAGGAATGCCATCTCCTATGTGGGGTGCATGACTCAGCTGTTCTTCTTTCTCTTTTTTGTCATCTCTGAGTGCTACATGTTGACCTCAATGGCCTATGATCGTTATGTGGCCATCTGTAACCCATTGCTGTATAGGGTCACCATGTCCCAGCAGGTCTGTTCTGCATTGTCTCTTGCTGCCTATGTGATGGGATTTGTTGGTGCCGCTGCCCACACGGGCTGCATGCTTAGACTGACCTTCTGCAATGCCAATGTCATCAACCATTACTTGTGTGACATACTCCCCCTCCTCCAACTTTCTTGCACCAGCACCTATGTCAATGAAGTAGTCGTTCTTGTTGTGGTGGGCATTAATATCTCAGTCCCCAGCTTTACCATATTGACTTCTTACATTTTCATTCTCACCAGCATTCTTCACATCAAATCCACTCATGGAAGATCAAAAGCCTTCAGTACCTGCAGCTCTCACATCATTGCTATTTCTCTCTTTTTTGGATCAGGTGCATTCATGTATCTTAAATATTCTTCTCCTGGATCTATGGACCAGGGAAAATTTTCTTCTGTTTTCTACACTAATGTGGTTCCCATGCTCAACCCTTTGATCTACAGTTTGAGGAACAAGGATGTCAAAGTTGCACTTAGGGAAGTCGTGATTACAATTAAAAAGAGAGACAAATTGTAATTAGAGGAACTAATTGTATAGAGAAATTGAAGGATCTTAAAACTTCTACTGGTGTTTTTCATGAAGAGATTTTGCTCATGTGATTTCTGCAGATAGTGTTTTATGTGGTTACACCTGTTGTTTTGACATTTCTCTTAAAATCTCATTGTTTTGTTTCTCTCTCTCAAACACTTTTAGCAATTTTTAAAAAATAATTAATTGTCAAGAGCCATCTGTGGGCTGTGTGTGGACTACATCCGCATTGCAGTCTAGTGAATAGGAGCATCTGGTATTTAGAAACTTCCAGTGGAAATTTCCTCTGGAAAATACCATCCAGACACATTGTGAGTTCTACTGAAGCTCTGCCTGGTCCCACACAGCATTGGAGAATGGATGACTTGCTACAACCTCCCAGACACACGGCCTATCAGAGGTGGGTGTGACCTACCAAGATGTCAATCAACTTGCTGACTGCAAGACACCATGAAGAAAGATTCCATATCTGAAACCTTATACCTGCCTTTGACATACTCCCTTAAATAAACCCTGAGAGCCATTTTCTAATTACCTAGCACCAGCTCCTGTGTGGGCTCAATATTTCAGGTATTTCATCCTTTAAAACTATGTTTTCTGACTCTGTGTCTTTGTTCTTCACTATTGTTCTAGATTTTAATCTCTTAGGTGGCTTACATCCTCCTGAGCATATAGAAAAACCCTCTAATGAGGCACTTGATGCCTCCCCGTAATTAATAACATGTTTGCAAAGCAATATACACACTGGTGTTTTTCATTAGGATTAAATACAGACACCATTATTTCTTCCCTTTCTGGATTATTTCCAGGGCTCTTCTTAATCTGAAAATATATAGAAAATTTCATAAATTACAAAAATTTAAAATTATGGTGTTCTCACCTAAATATAGAAATATGACAAATGACATATAGAAATGAAAAATGTGGTTTGGGATAAGGTTTCAGGGGTGGAGTCTTGCTTCATGGTGTCTTGCAATCAGCAGATTGATTGACATCTTGCCTGGTCACACTCATCTCTGATAAGCTGTGTGGATGGGTGGTTGTAGCAAGTCATCCCATTCCAAAGCTGTGGGGGACCAGGTAGAGCTTGAATAGAACTCAGAATGCATCTAGGTGGTCTTATCCAGAGGAAATTTCCACTGGAAGTTCCCAAATACCAGATTCTCCTATTCACTAGGTGCAATGCAGATTAGTCCACACACAACCCACGGATGGCTCTCAGCAATTAATTATTTTTAAAAATTGTTAAAAGTGCTTAAAGCATTTTCATTGTTATCAATATTGTGATAGTCATGAGGATATGGTGGAAAGTCTTCATTTCTTATCTCTGTAAAGCTTGATACAATAAGATAGATAAAATAGAAGGAATTGTTGGATTTCCTTTCCTCATTATTGTTGTTTTTTGTTACCCTTGTGAATGGAATGGAAAAACTTGTATCACAGGACACTCATTTGTGAGAACCTATATCACACATTTATTGTTGAAGAGTGTATACACACCTACACCTTTTACTGACAAAGGCAGCATTAACAGAAGATGATTAGAGACATAATATATGTGTACCCCAAGATTCCAGTAAGGGGTATGGTAGTTCATATTATTTATCCTGCATACATTACAATCTAAAATGGCTTCCAACATTTTCATAAGAAGCATACCATTCTCATAATAACTTTTTTTTCTCTTTTGATCACTAACAAAAATGTACTGTACATTAAGTTAATAGAACTATGTTAGCCAGTGGTTTACTTATCCAATCAGGGTCATTAGGAAAAGTATATGTTAGTATTAATAAACTATATTCTTATCATCATTTTGTGAGCTTACTTAAACTTTGTATCATAAATAAGACAAAAAACACTTTTAACATAGGGGCTGTTTCATATCATTTCTGTATTCCTCCAACACTTTTGTCATCTTCAATTTAGATTGTTACTATAGAGACATTAAGAAATGTTCATTTGAAGAGTGTTGTTTGGTTAACAAAAATTATAAATTTACAATTATGATTAATGACTATAAAATGTAATAAACAATAGGAATAATAATAAATAATAGAAATTTTGAGTTTTAATTTCCTTTTTGGTGGTAGAATGTCAGCTTTATAAAATCCTCCTTAGCTCCTGTCAAGAGAACCAGCGGTGAGGAACATAGTTGGCTGAGAAATCTATAGCTAATACTCCTCTGGGTGAACCATAGTGCTCAGGCAGAGGCCATGCTTATTCTGAGAAGACTCACACAATGGTCCAGCAAGGTGAGTGGGAAGTGCTGGGGCTGGCTGATTTCTGCCTAACACAGGTCTCTTTTGATAGGAATCTTTGCTTGCAGACTTCCTATCATTCTCACCATGACCTTTTAGTACTGTACTGCAGTGTTGATATTTTCTACCCAATTATTTCATTTCTTTGTCCTTTCTAAGGTGACACTTTCATCTTGGTCTGAGTTGCTCATCAATAGGTTCTGTTCTCTTCCGTTTTATCCTTCACAGACATTTACCATAATAAATACCTTACATGTCTTATTTCTGGCATCTTCTTCCAAGGGGATATTCCTGGTCTCTATATAAGGGAATGCTTTGTTATTTAAGGCCTCAGAACTAGAGTCCAGTTTTTAAACTGATTGCACATCTTCTGAAGAAATAGAAGGAAAAATGGAAAATTGTGAAAGACCAGGGATAACTTCTAGAGAGTTGCTTCAAAATGAGCCAAAAAGCAGAGGTTGTTTGAAAATGATGTCCTGAGCCAAGATGCCAATACCAGAGAGATGATCTACAAGACGTCAATGTTCAACTAGAAAAACGTACAGGTACCTACAGAAGTCTGCTTTTAATGTGTTTAAAGTGGGTTAAGAAGGGTAAGGTGTGAAGGAACATTTCATCTTGATCTTTTAATGACAGTGATTATTTTTCTGGGATAGGAGTTTAGGTCAAGCCTTTTTTTGGTAAGACCTGTCAATATTTGCATTGTACTGAAAGTCTTTTAGATATTATGCTAACATTCAGAGTAACTAAAATAGGTATTCATAATAAAAATAATAGAAATCTGTCCTCTATAAAATTTTAAGATTTCTTATGTCGAAAGAAGATAAATTGAAGATAAAATGAATAAATTTCTTGAATCAGTTTAGAGCAGATGTTCCTCAGTGACTATATCCTTGTCAGGGGAAATGGCTCATTATCATTGTAATTTGTATATTTATATGAAGATATTATAATTTTTGAAAAATTCTAGAATCGTTGGTATAAACGAATGCCCTTAGAAGACAATGAGGCTTCTTTTCAGTATGATTAAAATTAATACTATGAGAGCAGAGTTTGTTATTTATATTCATTATAATAATTTCACTATTTTAATTTAAAAAATACTCTGCAAACAGATTCTGAATGCTTAGTCTCCAATTCTACTTTTTATTTACATTCATAACAATGATTTGTGAAACAAAAAGCTTAACACTGGTTTGAATTTTGTTTTGTGGCACATATTTTAGTAACAACTTCTTATGTGTTTATAAAGACAGAATAAATGTGTACCATCCATGTCTATAAGCCCTGGGCAGCTGGTCTGAGCACTATATTGTATTCTGAAGCATAGCATGGTAGACAATGAACCAACAAATAACCTGACTCAGTTCTGTGAAGATTGTAGTCCCAAATGGGGCTCTTGGGAAGTCGAGAGTCAATAGGTTCTATGTGACAGTGCTTCATATCTTTAGTAGGCATAAGAACAATGAGATAAAATGGCATCCTTGCTCCATTCTCATGATCAAAGTGGTGCTGCAGCAGTCATAGGCAGAGGGGACAGAGCCTACAGTTGGCAAGAGGTCTTCGGGCTGCTGTTGGAGTTTATGATTCAGGTGTCTAAGGAGCACAGTGCTTAAACCTCAGGACCTGTCCTGCAATGTAGCTGGAGGCCAGGAAGCAAATCCATGACAATCACTTCTTCAGGAAGAAGCTCACACTTCCATATCTCACGGGCACATAACTTTTGCCATTTCTAGCTACTATTAGCTGACAGAGGTCTAATGGCATCTGATATAATTGCAGAATGTTTACTATAACTATCCGCAACCTTCTACTGATTAGAGATCTTTAGTTATTTGAAATACTTGGAAAAAAGTGAAAGTGATTCTAAATATTTGTTCAAAGTTAAATAAGTCACTGAAAGAATAACTCTTACATTATTTAAATATAATTCAATTTCAAAGTTTCAAATGGTCTTAAAAATTATTTAGCCAGGTGAGGTGGCACATAACTTGTAACCAGTAATCCAAGCCACATGGTAAACTGAGGTAGATGAACTGAAAGTTCAAGGCTAGCCTAAATAACTTAGTCAGACCCATCTCAAAATAAAAAGTAAAAGGTGCTAGGTATGTTGCTTAGTGGTATAGCACTGGGGTTCAACACTCAGGATTGCAAGAAAGAAAAAAAAAGAATTTAAAGGAAAAGATTTAACACTCAGACATGTTTTTAGATATGTTATAGTTTAGATATGAGGCATTCTCTAAGAGCTCATGTGTAAGACAGTACAAGAATATTCAGACGTGAAATGACTAGATCACAAAAGGTATAATTTAATGAATGGATTAATCCACTGAAATGGATTTGCTGTGTGGTAACTGTAGGCAGGTAGAATGTGGCAAGGGGACATAGGTCACTGGGAGCATGCTGATGGGGCTTATATTTTGTCCCTGTTGAGCAGAGCTCTCTGTCTGCTTGGTGGCCATGTCTTGAGCTTCTTTTACTGCCACGTGCTTTTGACCTAATGTTCTGCCTCACCTCAGGTCCAAAGCAATGCAGTTGGCCACACATGGACTGAGACCTATGAAACTGTGAGCCAAAATAAAGTTTTCCTCTTCTATGTTCTAAAACTATGTTTTTCTTTTCTTCACCTTCATGAAAATGGAGCATAATATCAAGCTTTCAAAGTTAAATTCCTATTGACTTTGAGAAATTGAACATACTGGGTTTGAAAAAAGGAATGAACAAAGA